CTGTCTGTAGTCTTCATACAGCAGTAAGTGTTTGCATCACTCTCTCTTAGATCATTGATGGTTAAAGTTGGGTTTTTCTCTTCAGACATGTTGTACGTTACACGTTGTCCATCCACAGAGAGCTCACTCTGAACATACTCTGATCCATTCCAGTATGCAGTGAACCATTTTCTGCTTGAGGTCAGATGTTGATGTGAGCAGTGCAGATCCACTGATGAACCTTTGAAAGCACAGATCCTGGTTTCTCCTCCATTAACACCTTTAACAGAAACTTTCATTAACAAAACAGATTGTTTTTTGTTTTACTAACATGAGCATTTATTTTATTCTCTAGTGTAAGAAATCAGCTAAAATTAGTAACTCATTTATAAATCATACGTATAATAATCATATAAACTTTTATACTTTTCTCTGTCAGTATGTAGCGGTACATAATTTATCACTCATACCTGAAATGCACAAAATGAGTCCCAGAAACATGAGTTGAAAATCTGTCAACAACATGATCGCTGTAATCCCACTTTCCAGCAGGAAAAAATATAAATAAAATTAATAAATAAATAATAATAATAATAATAATAATAATAATAATAATAATAATAATAATAATAATGAATATAAAAAAATAACTGCTATGTTCAAATACAATACAGCACAGAGTGAACGATAGTCAGGGCTGAAACTAGACTGCTCTATCACATTAATGTGGCGATCAAAACTTCCTTCCTCTTTTTCTCTGAGAGCGCGGGCTTTTTTTTTTTTGTGTGTGTGCCCCGAATTTGAAGGAGTCAACATGTTAAGGTTTTATTTTATTGTTGTCATTTTGATTTGACCAACAATAATTTATTTTACTGACATTGTGTTTTGAGCCTTCAGTTAGTTGTGCAGTTGTGTTAAGCTGTGGAGAGTTGATAAAACTGTTGTCTGCACTCGGTTTATGCTGGAAACACTTCAGTCATGAAGAATCTCCGACTCTGCCTCAGTGATCATTAAGTGTACTGCAGAAAAGTCCAAAGTAATTTGATTAAGAAAAGCAATATATAACTGTTTCTATGTTTCGTGTTTTTTGGTGTGTTTTGGATGCATTTGGTCACATGGTTTCCTGGCTACCTGTCTTTCACGTGTGAAGACCAAAGTTTAAAAGTTGGAACACGATCAAATAAATGGTGAAAATTCAACAAATGACCACAGGTGTGTGTGGGTTGTACAGCAGAAGTGGAACGGATCCATATGTCACCCTGTATTCTGTGTAGTTATCTTGCAGGTTTTCACTGGAACATAATGCAAGTTTTCTACATTTCACACAGCAGTGATGATCAAATAAACAACGAGGGATCACTCATTACATTTATTCAATGTAAATCATTTAAACAATCACTGGTTCCAGGATTCAAAATGTAAAGACTCAGTTTTTCTAAAACGGTTACCACTGAGATAATTACAATTATTAATAGTCTTTAATACACTGATAATTTAGTGTCAAAAACTTTTCCCAGCATGAAACATCCAGATAACCTCAGCAACAAATCATCTGAAGATCCTTTATATGATTAGACACTCTAAAGCTAGAATATAACATGTAAGCTTCAAGATTAAACAATCCCTGAACCCTGTTTGTAATGTAAATAAAAACAAAATGCAGTTATTTGCTAATTCCTTAAACCAATATTTCACAACACTAAAGGTTTGTTGTCAATTGTTGTATCTTAACAAGAATACAAATAAAAGCACAAGGCTGTTGATCCATGTTCATTTAAAAGTTAAAAGAGTTTGAAGAGTGAGAGCAGAGACGTGAGGTGGTTTATGTGTATTCTGTCAAACATGAAAAAGAAACCAGCTAGGAAGCTGTTTGAGGTTTTAAAGAGTGTGAAAACCACACACATTGTAAATGTGTGTGAAAACAACTGACAGACACTCCAGCTGAGGTGTCTCTGCTATAAAAATGAAGATTTTCCAACCACCAAACCGATCGGAAAAAAGTCCCTTTTAACCACTATGGTAACAAACTATTCTTTAGTGATCGGACAGAGGCTTGATAATGGAGATCAGCTGTGTTTTTTACTGAAGATAGAAGCTATAGCGATGAACATCCTGCTGTGCTGTATGTTCTTAGAAATTCCCATATATAAGATTAGGATTCAAGCAAATAGACAGACAGTACGAGCAAGTGAGTTATTTAACACTTAGGATATATTTTTATCTTATTCAGTAAAAAAAATATATCTTAAGATAAAAAAATAACCTGCAACTCACAGTGTGTCTAGGTTGGGTTCTAAACAAAACAGTGAAGAGTGCAAGTTGTTAAAATTATGGCCCAAATCTTCTTTTAACAGTCATCCATCTGTAGTTTACAATATTAATGCTTCGATGCTGATCATGTTATGCTGCATGATGATTTTTCAGACTCCCCAAACCACATTTATCTTTTAAAGGTTCAGAGAAGTCGGTGAATGAAATTATTAGAAAAAACATTGCAAAAATAACAAGATATTAGCATTTTAGCATCTTTAATGTTATTTTACCATGAACAAAATCTAAAATTAGGCAACTTCTCTCTGGACTAATACTAGGTAACCACCACGGTCTCTGTTAGTTCAATTACCAGATACAAAATAAAAGAAAAATTTTATAACTGCTCTCTGAAGTTCAGATCTAAAGCCTTGAGATGAGCATTTTTGCTGTTGCCATCTTGGTTGCAAAATAGGCTTCCTTTGGTACTGAGTAAGACCCCAAATGACCCACTGATACCAGTAACCATATATCGCCATCTGGTGGCTTTCAGACAAAATGCAGGTTTAAGGCACTTACTTATTGGCTTAATGTTTCTGACCTAGAATCTACGGCTTCTCCCCAAATTCAGGGGAAGGATGCTTCAAATGCTGTATTTGGAGGTAATGATGTCACAGCGACGCAACGAAGGCTGTCCAAATTCGAAGAGTCCTCCAAATGTGGCGACAAATGCATCCTTCATTTCCCCAAATTTCAAGGATGGGTTGGGTGTATCCTTCATGTCCTACAATATCCCAGGATTCATTGCAGGCCATACAGGAGATTTTTTTTTCTGATGACGATAGTGGTTGAAGTGGGAGAGAAAAACACTTTCAAATGTAAGTATATGAAAAGCTGGTGGTACAACAGTTTATTTTTTATAGTAATTGTGTTGTTAAGCTTTGGGCATCTGCATAGACATGTTTTTTTTTAAATTAATATAATTGTAAACTGGCTTGTATGGTGGGTCCCGTGGTTTTTCATGTATTGCCACTTACATACAGTGAATTTTGATAGGCCTCCTGTCCTAATTTCCTCTATCCCTGAGGACACTCCAGGGCCAATAGCAGCAGTGGGTGACCAAAACAGAAGCAATGAGGAAGCTGTTCAGCGACCGACAACAGGGAGAAAGAGGAAAAGACACAGGGATGCTGGACCTCATCAGAGAGTATGAGGCAGCAAAGAGTTCTGAGGAGAGGAGAGCGCAGGAGAGCAGGGAAAGAATGGACAGACTGTTTTCACTTCTTGAAAGATTAATTCCAAAAGGAGTTATGCATTAAGAAATGTATTTATTTGAATACAGTTGTTACATTGTTATATGTGTTGCATTAGTTTAAATGTTGTATGTTATTAATAAACTGATTACGACAAATAGTCATTTTCACTGAACTCATTTTATTTACAGGTATTTTTTAACATGAACAGGAATGGTAGATGCTTCATTACCAAGGAGATGTAATCGACTCCATGCGGAGGATATGGCCGGCGGATGGTCGGGGAGGACCAGATCTTGTTCATCCTCCGAAATACTGCAGCTGCCTTCCCAATGCGGCATTTGACATCCACCTCCGCATCGCCGTCGTGGGAAATCACGCTACCGAGGTAGGTGAATTTCTCCACTTCTTCTAGCTGCTGTGTCTCGATGTAGATCCCTCGTCGTGAGTCCTTGGAGCTGACATGCATGATCTTTGACTTTTCTGAGCTGATCCTCAGGCCAATCTTGCCAGCTTCTCTTCTTAGATCGGTCGTTCCTTGCTGTAGCTTCAGCTTGTCTTCTTCAAGTAAGGCAATATCGTCAGCGAAATCGAGGTCGCCAAGACGGTCTTGATCAGACCAATGGATGCCAGCTCCTGTACGGGCACTGTCTCGCTGCATGACGTAGTCGAGGGCAACGAGAAAAAGTAGATGTGACAAGTCGGTGTGGCCATTTCCGTTCCTAACAGCACGATCGCAAGTACAGGTCCCTGAAGATGTTAATGAAGATGGTACGGACACCGTACAAGCGCAGGATTCGCCAAAGGGAATCGTGGTGGATGCTATCGAAGGCCTTCTTGAAGTCAACAAAATTGATGGCGAGTTGTTGCCGGTACTCGACGCACTGTTCGATGATATTTCTTAAGACGAAAATCTGTTCTGTGCATGATCGGCCTATCCGGAACCCAGCTTGCTCCTCTCGTAGATGTTGGTCCAGGGCACTCCTTAGTCGTCGAAGGAGGACGGCACAGAACGCCTTGCCAGGCACAGAGAGGAGGGTGATGCCTCTCCAGTTGGTGCACTTGGAGGTGTTGCCCTTCTTTGGTAGCTTGACTATGGCGCCCCTCCGCCAGTCCTCCGGCACTGTGCCACTTTGCCAGCACTTGTTGAACAGGGTTGTCAGTTCTTCCACCATGGCTTGGCCGCCGTGTTTCAGGAGCTCTGCTGGTATTTCATCTAGGCCGGCCGCTTTGTTGTTCTTAAGGCTCTTGATGGCGATCTTCACTTCCTCGATGGTGATTCTGCCAGTATTGACCCCAAGTTCATCTTGGGAAGCCTCCGCCTTGGAATTTGTGGTGGGCTCTGGCTGATTAAGGGTCTCTTGGAAGTGTTCGGCCCATCGTTTGTTTTGCTCTTCTTGGGCGAGCAAGAGCTTCCCATTTTTGTCCTTGACCGGGACATTTGCATTGGTCCTCGATCAAGTAAGCTCGTTTACAATGCGGTATAGGGTCTTGGAATCATTCCGATCCGCTGCTTCCTGAGCCTCGGCACCTTTTCGTTCTAGCCATTCTTTCTTGTCTTTCCGACAGCTTTACTTCACTAGCTGATCTAATTCTGTGTAGCGTCGGGTTCGTTCCTCTCTGGCTTGTTCGGTTTTGGCCTGCTCTCTTTTGAGCTCGCAATTTTTCTCTCATTGATCAGTTCCCATGTTTTTCCTTGGATCCACTGTTCACTTCTCTTTCTTCTGCGTCTTCCGATTGTGTTTTGGGCAGACTCCACAGTGGCGTCCCTGAGGCCAGTCCAGAGGTCTTCTACGTCTTCCCCTTCTCCAAGAAGGGTGAAATGATTTTGCAGCTCTAAAGTGAAGGCGTTGACAACGGTCGGGTCCTTGAGCTTCTCGATTGTGAACGGTCCATTTGGTATGGGCTGTCTTTGGTTCCGAGGTTTGAGTTTGACGGCCTATTGCCTTCATATTAAATAATTTATAATTTACTACCTACGGGGAGCAGGTAGGTAGGATCCTTCGAAGCATCCTTCCCCTTAATTTAGACACAGCACCTATCGGTTAGGCAAACCAAGTGCACTGTCTTCATTGCTTCTTAACTTTACCTGTATTTGCAGATTAGTACTTGGTAAAAGAAACAAAAAACTAAACCTCCAGGTAAGGTCCTCCATGCTAAGTTGTAAAGAATTATGACTGTATTTGTAACACCTACGAGCAGCCGTGTGTGGACCAGCATCAGTCTCAGGCTACGTCCACACGTACACGGGTATTTTTGAAAACGGAGATTTTCCGTTTTCGTTTTTAAAAAAAAATTCGGTCCACACGTGCAGTTTTGAAAAAATATCTCCGTCCATATGTAAACGCTGTTATGAACATGCCAAAGCAACCGGTATAATCCGAATTGTGTAGAAATGTTGGCCAATCAGAATTCTAGAAGCCATGAGGGGTTCATTATGTTTATGTTTCTGATTCTTTAGCTGTCCTGTGTTGATTGTTATTGTTCTTTATTCCAGCATATTGTGGTTTAGGTTTTGTTCTTATGCCCTCATGTTTAGTATAGGTTTAGTTGTTGTTTCTGGTTTCCTGTTTTACTTTGAAAGTTCATGTCTTATGTCACTGTGTTCAGTTTTACTTCTCCCCTGTCTCATTAGCCTAATTTCTCCCAGCCATGTCTCCCTCCTGTTGCCCATTCCCTGATTACTCCCCTGTGTATATAAGCCCTGTGTTCTCAACATGCTGTGTTTGTTATATCCAGTTTTCCTGCACATTGGTTATAAGTCTTGTTTTTGCTTTTGTGAGTTTTATTTTATGAGAAGGTTTTGCCAGCAATAAAGCTGCATTTTGGGTCCTTTTTCCTGCCTGGCTGCCATGCAGCCAACCATGACAGTTTTACTTCCCCTCACATCATTATGTTAGTAATTCTCAGCTGCATTCCCACTTGTTTCCTCTCCCCTCTTTATCTCATGACCATTTATTATGAGTCTACAAAACCCCGGTAACATCAAAGCCTATTCCCGTGTATTTAAACATGCAAGTAAATCAGTTCAAATCTGTGACCGGTGAGTAGTGATGGCCAAATGAAGCTTTCTGAAGCATTGAAGCTTGTATTGAAAAACGGTTCATGTGCTTTTCAACACAGTCCTCTCTGTTGACATCTGGTGGCCAAATATATGAAGAGCAGCTTGAATCCACAAAATAAAACCAACTGCTTCATTATGATTGCCCACTCTACAGAGTGGAATTCTGTCTGATATTGGGCCACCGTTGTGTTGCTTTGAACGTGTATTCTTTGGTGGTTAAAAAATGTGGTTTATTTGTTTAATAAATAATTTTGACCAGTAAACCTTCCTTGTTTAAACATACACCATTGTGTGGTCTCTCTTTGCTTGTGACTTCTTGATGTTGGTAAATACAATAATTGAAAAATACCACGTTACATATAATATATACATATGATAATGTACAAAACATTATGGAGTATTCTTCTGCTCTGAGGTCCTGCCTCCATGCACTTATGCAATTAACCGCTAGACGGGTATATTTATAAATAATATTATATTAAGGAAATTTTCCCAGACATATTTTTGACCTGGGGGTAGAATTGATTGTGAAATGGAAAGGGAAAATGCTTATGAACTTGCAAATTAAAAACATGATGAATTTAAAGTAGCCCTTTTTCATTTTTATTTAAGAAGAGAAGCAGTTATACAGTCTACCTGGGCCCCACAAACTATCAGATAAAGAGAATAAATAAATTCAATTGCTGCACATTTGGCAGACTAACATTTTCAGATTAATTAAACAATAAAATATATATTTTTACAACATTACATGTAAAGAGTCAAGTGGAAGTTTTTCTAAAGTTATTTAATGATATTTATATTATGGAAGCAGATTTTTGACATTTTACCTTTTTCAGATATAATAAACACACACAAAACAAACGCAAACAGCCAGAACACAAAGCTGGAAAACCCACCCGATTGACAAATATCAACTCAAAATTCTCCCACACAACAGAACCTCCTCTATTCCTCGCTGGGTCCAAATCTTTCAGGGGAATGATCAGTGGTTCGCTATCTGTCACCATCAAAACACTCCACAAATCCCGCGAATGATTCATTTCCTTATAAACCATTGAATCAGATACCGAAGCAGTTAGGTTCTAAATGAAGCTTCGGACGTCACTGATCACGTGACTCTGGCCAAACGAATCAAGCTTCGACAGAGTGCTTGTGAAGCAGTGTGTTGGTTTTTTTGACACACGCACCGGAGCTTCAGCTTCAAGCGGGCCATCACTACCGGTGAGTAAAAACCTTTAAATGCTGTTTTGAGACTTCAACACCAAATGGTTTAATACTTTTATCAAAACTTTCTTACTTTGGAAAAAAAGTGTGCCTCATGTGGAGTTCAGACATATAACATTAAATGTGAATGATTTATGTGAAACTTTACAAAAATAAAACTTCTGAAATAGAGAAAAGAAAAACTATACATGTTGTCACAATGTCTAGAGGCAAACAGAGACGCAGGTGAATAACCAAAAGTGAGGCTTTATTGAGGGCTGAACAAAGCCACAACATGAGGAAACAGAAAAAACTAACAAAACCCTAAACTGGGAAACCTAAGATTAAAATTACCCAAAACTGAAACTAGAACTAGCCAAACCTGGAAACGTGAGGGGACTGAGCGCAGCAGTAACAAAGTGGAATGATTCACAGACAGACCAATGAAGAGCAAAAGATAAAACACACTAAATATACACAGAAGGAAACGAGGAAATGGCACACAGGAGGGAGACACAGCTGAACCTAATTCAACATGAGGAGAAAGGGAGGAAGCAAAACAGAATACATTGACATGAGACACAGACTTTCAAAATAAAACAGGAAATACAACCAGCACATACAAAATGAGAACGTAGCACCAACTACTTTACAATACATCGCAGTAGCACTGCAACACTCACCGGCCAATTGATTAGGTATGCCTGTCCAGCTGCTTGTTAAGACAAATATTTAATTAGAAAATCACATCAGTGCATTCAGACATGTAGAACACACATTGTCAAGAACTGGAACTGCTCAAACTCAGATCAAACAAAGGTTAAGAAGATTATGAAATAATGACAACAAAAAAGTGTTGGAAAACACACAGGAGGATTTTTTTTTTTTAACAATCCAACCACAGCCCAGTTGTTTGTCGCAATATTCTTGTGCTAGAGTACCTGAAGTGAAGCTTTTTATCCCAAACAATAATCTGTTACAGCAGAGAAGAGAAGCAGCTCTGACAAAGATGTAGGAGGCTATATATCAGGTTGAAGTATGAGTCAGAAGAACTCAAAGAAATAAAATTCAGAGTTTGGAGGAAGGATTAAAACTAATTTGTGTAGGTCTTGATTGTTGGAGTTGTACTCATAATCAACCTTCAGATGTGTTTTTGTAGTTACACTCGCAGTCTGAAGATGGAGATAAAATCGCTGCAGGCTGAAGCACAATATATGTGGACTAGAATGGTAAACTGGTTCTTATATAGCGCTTTTCTACTCTTCTGAGCACTCAAAGCGCTTTATACAACTTGTGTATTCACCCATTCGCACAAGCACATTTGTCTAAGTGCTTTTTTTTAAGCTAAAGTTTACATATATTCATACTCCGATGGATGCATCGGAGAACAATTTGGGGTTAGTGTCTTGCCCAAGGATATGGGCAAGACCCTAGGCATGCAGACTAGGGGAAGCGAGGAATCGAACCACCAACCTTCCGATCAGTAGATGACCTGCTGTACCGCCTGAGCAACAGCTGCGCCATGTCAAAGAGACTATGCACACATCATTCATTGTAACAGCTGTCAACAACTGTGCTGTGTCCTGTAATGTTAGATAGTGATAGTTAAGATAGCGAACTGAACTCAGCCAACACTACAAACTGACCATTTTTTTCTGATTAGATTGTTGAGTTTCTGGTGAGCTCTTCAGGTTGTACTCTGACATGGCTGCAGGGTATTGGATATGTGGCTGTTGAACACAGCATCTCTCTCAAACTTTCACAGTAGAGTAAGTCTGTAAGTCTGTGTCTGCTGGAGTGACACCAGATGCTCCGTCAGAGCTGAAG